GGTCAGTAGGGAAGTGTGATGAGGATAATGAAGTTGCTGCAGTGTATAGAGATATGGAATTCAGAGGTAATACTTGTCAAGTGCTTATTCTGTATAGAATAACTGTTAGATGTTTTTCGGTATTTTTCATTTAATTCTCACAACAACACTGTGAAGTGCCTGTCATCCCCATTTTACTGAATAGAATATGAACTCCAAGAAGTTAAATAGCTTGCTAAAAATCAAATATTTCGATGGACAGAGTTCATCTTAGGCTAAAGTCTATGTCTTTAATCATGAGCTGAAAGTTGAAAGAAGATAGTATCAAATAAGGAAACATTGTAATATTGAAGGGAAAATAAGAAGAAGAGACTGGAACTATGCCCCAAAGAGTTAAAGAAACCAGTAGGTAGCAGAAATTCTTGAACTTGCAGGATGGCAGATAGCAAAGCTTGCAGAACAAGCTTGCTGACATTAAAACCAGAATTTCCACCACATACTTCATACTAACTCTCTCGAATTTGCACAGGTGACCCATGAAGAGGCATAAAGATTCTAATAATGGTGTTATGTCATTTAATTTGAACGTTTAGCAAAGTGATATAAGATTTTTCTGGTAAAGGTACTATCTTCAGAGTTTAACTGTGATAATGTCTCCACGTAATGTTAAATTCATTCTTACACCAAAAATATGCTTGAGCATTGCACCATGCTGATAGAATTTTAATCTACTATTTGTTTCCTCTTACCTTGTAAAAACAAGTTGTTTTCTAAGATGATTTTTAAAAATTCACTAAAAACCTTCAGTTCTCCCCTGTTAATGTAATAAGAATGAATTCAAAAATCAAGCTGTTTGAGCTTTCTACTGTCAATTAAATGTATTTAATAAGCAAGTCAGTTTTGATGAAGGAAAAACACCAGTTACATTTAATTTACCCAGCAATTGTCAGGAACAGCACAAAGATCTGAGATTCTATTCTACTTAGAGTTGATAAGTTAGTCTGTTCCTGTTTTCTTGGATGCTGGCAAAAGACATAAGACTCCTAGGTCAGAGTAAAAGGACTTTATTACTAACAGCAAAAGCAGTAGTCAGAGTGTCCACACGTTGCTCACCCTAGTACCCTCTGTCCCCCAAGTTCCTTAAGAGGTGAAATTCATCATGGATGCCGTGTTAGTTTGCTAGGGCTGCCGTAACAAAGGGCCATACACTGGGTGGCTTAAACAACAGAAATTTATTTTTGCACAGTTCTGGAAACTAGAAATCTGAGATCAAGGTGTTGGTAGGGTTAATTCTTTCTGAGGGCCATGAGGAAGGATCTGTTCATGCCTCTCTCCTGAGTTTATAGGTGGCTGTCTTCTTCCTGTGTCTTCACTTCATCTTCCCTCTGAATGTCTTCCCTCTGTGTCTTCACTTCACCCTCCCTATGTCCAAATTTCCTCTTCTCTGAGGATACCAGTCCTATTAGATGAGGGCCCACCCGAATGACTTTATTTTCACTTCATCACCTCTTTAAAAATCCTGTATCTAAATATGATTGCCTTCTGAGGTATGGATGGTTAGGACTTCAACTTCAGAATTTTCGGGGTAGAAAATTGGGTCCATAACAGATGCTTATACACATAGTGGAGTGCATTACAGGAGAGGTACAGTGAGATTAGGCTATTCACCATGGAAACAAGCCTGCTGTTGTCCGGGATGCCTTACCTCATCCCTCAAGACTGATGGCTGCAAACACAAGCCTGAGATGAACAGCATCCAGGGCTTTGCATTCTTGGCACACTCAACGAGAATGTGCAGGGATACTCAGGACCATGTGAATTGTCTTCCCCAAAAGGAATGTCGTCAAAATATTAGATTAAGTTACAGCTGTATCATCCTTAGAGTCTTCATCAATTCAGGCTCTGTTTTACATAGCTGTGTAATTGATCTCCAAAAGTTACCTACGCTGAAGGAAAACGTGAGCCACATCCCTTTTTCTGTTTGTAATAATTATACTTACAAATTTACCTTTAATACCAAGTAGGGAGTAAATTTAGAGCTTAGTCAACTGTTGTGTTGTCTGCTTTTGTCACATAGTGTGAAATATTAAGAATATTAAGTTGAGATTATTTCTTTACTACTTTGTAGTTGTTTATAGCAAAAGGAATTCAAAAATATGTTCAGAGTAATTGAAGAAAATAATTCTTATTTATTCCAACAGATGGAATTGCCACTTATATACGTTTCAGTTTTGCTTTTGAACATATTTGAATTTTCATCAGGAATAGTATATAATAAAGGTAAGTTTCAGACTGTCTTACTCTATATTTCCTTCTCAAGAGTTCTTATTTGTGTCCCTTCCTTATTTACAGTAAAAAAAATTTTCTTTTAGTATTTCTTCTTTATCTTATCTTCCAGCTGTTCTCCAATATTGTCAATTATACTCTGGTCTAAAGGCTTCTAATATTATTGTGAACCTATTGTTATCAAGTTGTGTACATGGAGACTTGTCTCTGGTTACAGTATTTTATCACTTTAAAGTCATAGAATATTTAAAGTTTAATTTTATACTTGAAAAACTTTATTTGAACAGACATTTTAAAATTCTTTCCTCCATGAATGGTTGCATTGTTGTATGAATTCAAACTGAGTTATAAGGCTAGTGGATTGAGGTTGAAAAGAATTTTCTAAAAGTAACACACAGATTGAATTAGTCAGTAGGACTTTTATGGTTCTGAGAAAGGTACAGGGAGGGTACCTTTATCATGGGAGATTTGTCCTGTTTTAGGTGCACCTGCTGTTTCTTGATTACCTTTGGCTCAAAATAATCAATGTGACAAAGTGGCATATTTTGATGTGGCATGCCCTCATCCCTTGAAGCAGCAGTGGTGGGGAGAGAGAGATGGAAAGCACTTTTGCTGCTTTTGTTTTCAACTTCATTGCTGTGAGGTCGTCCCTCTTACCTGCAAGGAACCCCCAGTGGGGATGCCTGAAACTGCAGAGAGTACCAAGTCCTATATATACTGTTTTTTCTTGTGCGTACATACCTATGATGAAGTTTAAGTCATCAATTAGGCATAGTAAGAGATTACCAATAACTATTATTAAAATCGAACAAGTGGAACAATATACTATAGTAAAAGTTATGTGAATGTGGTCTTTCTTCTCTGTCTCTAAATATCTTAATACTCTACTCACCCTTCTTCTTGTGATGATGTGAGATGATACAATGCCTGTGTGATGAGCTGAAGTAAGGTGAATGACATAAGCCTTGTGAAATGACTTTATTGAGTAAAATAAGATTACTTGAACACAAGCACTGTGTTACCAGGACAGTTGATCTGATAACCTAGGTAGTTGCTAAGTGACTAATAGGCAAGTAGCATATAGTATGGATATGCTGGACAAAGTGATAATTTACATCCTGGGTTGGATGATGGAGGATGGCATGAGACTTTTTTTTTTTTTTTCCTGAGCTAGAGTCTCACTCTGTCACCCAGGCTGGAGTGCAGTGGTGCGATCTCGACTCACTGCAACCTCCCCGTCCCGGGTTCAAGCAGTTCTCTGCCTCAGCCTCCCGAGTACCTGGGATTACAGGTGCACACCACCATGCCCGGCTAATTTTTGTATTTTTAGTAGAGATGGGGTTTCACCCATCTTGGCCAGGCTGGTCTCGAACTCCTGACCTTGTCATTCACCTGCCTTGGCCTCCCAAAGTGCTGAGATTACAGGCGTGAGCCACCGCACCTGGCCAATGGCATGAGATTTTATCACACTACTCAGAACAGTGCACAATGTACAACTTATAAATTGCTTATTTCTGAAAGTTTCCACTTTATGTTTTTGGACTACAATTGACTACAGGTAACTGAAACTGTGGAAAGTGAAATCACAGAAAAAGGGGGACTGTTGTGGTTGTATAACTGTGAATAGGGCAATGAATGAATTTCATAAATGGCATTTTTTTCTATACATTTGTCCCACAGTGGATTTTTATTGTAGTCAGAGCAGGCATTTCATTGGTGGTTACACTTGTGTGGTTTCCCTTTATATCATGATTCTTGTTAAAGAAGTCACATACTGTTGAAAGTATAACTTCTCTGGCACATCTTTCCTTTAGAAGCTTGCAAAAGAGTAATTTTCTGTGTTTTATTATTGTAACAGAATCTAGCAAACTCTATAATCTGAGAATTTCTAGGGAAAGGGGTCCGTGGAGGGCAAGTTAGAAAACTTAGAAATTGTTTCTCTGTCTCTCCCCACAGTATCTCTGCCTCTGTTTTTACCACCCAAGCCCAAAAGATCCTGTTGATATGAGTACATAATTCACAAAATGATACCAAAGTGCAGAGGACAAATCAACTAGTTGCAATGAGACGAGTGTTAGAAAAAACTCTTTGGCCAGGTACAGTGGCTCGCACCTGTAATCCCAGCACTTTGGGAGGCTGAGACAGGAGGATACCTTGAGCCCAGGAGTTGGAGACCAGCCTGGGCAACATGGCAAAACCTTTTCTCTATAAAAAATACAAAATTTAGCCAGGCGTGATGGTGCCCACCTGCAGTCCCAGCTACTCAGGAGGCTGAGGTGGGAGGATCGCTTGAGCCCCAGGAGGCAGAAGTTGCAGTGAGCCAAGATCACTCCACTACACTCCAGCCTGGGTGACAGAGCAAGACCCTATATCAAACAAACAAACAAACAAAAACAATTTCTATTTGAACTGGATCTTAAAATGTATTAAAATTTGAGGCAGAGAATGGAAGTAGAGAGAACCCCATGCATTTCAGAGGTGATGGATGAGGTTGTGTGCAGGGGAGACTGACAAAATGGATTTAACTATTGAAAGAGTGTCTAGCGGGATACAGAGAGGATGGCCCTTAGAGTAAGAAACAACTCGGTTCCAGTCTGGCCCACTGTTGTTAGTTATATGACCTTTGAGCTTGATTTCCTCTTCTTTAAAGAGGAGACAGTAATATATATGGCCCAAGGTATTGTGGGAATTTCATAAAATAACATCTAAATCCAGCTCAACTCATTTGAGCTTTAATGGCTCAAAGTAAGTTATTCAAAGGAGTTAGTTTCCTTCTGTTTAGCCTCTCACCATTTAAGGAGTTTAATTCATGAGGTAAGGGTGTGTCAGTGAAGATTTTTAAACAGAGAAGTGATTTGGACTTCACAATCAAATTATAGCTTTAAAAAATGGGTCTGATAGCATTGTCAAGTATGGGCAAAGTGATTGTATAAGTTGAAAGTACTTTGAAAACTGTTTAACATTATAACCTCCAGAATTATTTGTATATTTTGCATATTTGTGATATTTATAAAGATATGTTTACTTATAGAATTTCAATAATAGCATCGAAATCATTATATTATACAAACAGAATGAGTAGCATTCAATTATAAATTAAATTTATTTTTGCCTCCTATTTAAATCCAATCTTTGGCATGGTTCTTCCTCTGTCACTGGATTAATATTTGGGCCAGAACCAAGATTTTTTTGGTTACAATTGGATGATTCACACAGTTCTCCTAGAACAATAAACTCTGGGGAATATGAGGGACAGGAGAAATGGATCAGGGAGGGGCTGAGAAACTACCTGTTGGGCACTGTGCTCACTACCTGGGAGACAGATTCATTTGTACTCCAAAACTTAGTATACAAAATATACTTTTGTAACAAACCTGCACATGTTCCCCTTGAGCCAAAACCAGTTCTCTGAGCATTTGAAATTTTAAAACACTTTTGCATTGTAATTGTTGTAATTAAAATATCCAAGCCCATGTACAAGTCAAATTTAACTCTTATTTTATAATTGAAGTTTCTTCCCTGTTTCCTGTCTGGGCCTCCACCTAGTGTTTAGATTCCTTCTCATTGTCTCATCAACTTTAGGTTTTGACCCTTCCTGCTCCAGCGTTGTAGAAAGGGAGGGAGAAGTGGGAGGGAATAGCACAGTTCTGCCCTAACTGGTTCTGAGGGGACCATCTGACATTTGCACTTTCAAGCTCCAGCAGATGTGTAAAGCTGACCCTTGATCTCTGGGCACTTGAATGAGTCCTTCATAGCCCCTTCCCCTCCCTCACATTACCGGGAATCTCTTCTCCACAGTTCTTCTAACAAAGGCAAAAACTTCTTCATTCCCACTGGTCACTTATTTCTTTGTCTATGCCTTCAAATACTTTTTGCTGACAGCCAGTTGCCGCTCAGAGAGACCTTTGAGGACAGGAACCTAGATGACCCTAAGTTAGTTTTTTTTCACCAGTGACCTATATTTGGATCACAGGAAGCATTCATCCATCTTTTGCCCCAGTAAATTTTGGTTGTGCAGGACTCTTAATGAAATGGGAGAGTTCCCTGGCTCCTCTTGCAGGACGTACAGGGGTGTGGCTGTTCTGGCACTTAAACCCCTTATGGGATGGGGACCATGCAGATGGGCAGGTGCAGGAGCCGGACGAGCACGCCTGGGCTCTGGCTCCATGGCAGCATCCACAGGTGGGAGCAAGCCTGTGACTCCTGAAGCCCAAGTGGGTGTGTGTTACAGTGTGCCCTCTTAGCCTTGCTGTCCATGGGCCGTTTAAATGTTAACCAGCTCAGTGCCTTCTTGGTACCCAGGTTCTTGTCCGGCATCCAGGAATAATCAGTTTGCACATGGACTTGAAGGATGAATGCAGGGGTTTTATTGAATGTCCTGAGGTGGCTGTCAACAGGATAGATGGCGAGCTAGAAGGGGAATGGTGTGGGAAGATGATCTTCCCCTGGATTTTGGCCTCTCCGACCATCCCCAGCAGAACTCCTCTTGGCATTTAGACGCTCCTTCTCTTCTCTCTGCTATTCTTCTGCTCTTCTGTTCATCTCCTTGCTTATCTACTTATCTGCTCTGAGGCCTGGGGTCTGGGGTTTATATGGGTATAGGATAGGGGGCGTGGTGGGCTGATAGGCAACTTTCGGATGCGAAAAAAGAAATGCCTGTTTTCATTAGGGCTGTAGGTTTCCAGGCTTGAGGATGGGGCCTTTGCCGCTTCTACCCAGTATTTCTGTCTCCTGTCTGTATCATTAACATACCCATCTCTTTCTCAACAAACCATATCCTGTTCTCTCCACCAAATCATCTCTTACCTTCTAGATTTTCTAAGTAGGAGTCTGAGTTTGCGCTCCAAACTGCAGGGATACATGTTACTTTTTTAGTGTGCCCATCAGACCCTCTTGCCTCAGACACAAGGTAAATAAGTAGAAGGGGTCCTCCTCCCAATATCTTCATTCAGTACCTCTCTATCAAAACACAAATTCTCTCTGCAGTCACCAATTCTGGATCCTTCTATACCCTCCAGGTGAGGCGCTGAAGTGTCAAGAACTGGTTTTTGTCTACCTCTAAAACTTTTGTGTCATGGTCTAGCATGAGTTATATTAGTGCTTCAGCCAAACCTTCCCTTTTTGAACATGCCTGATAGCGTATGTGTAAAAAGAAAAACAAGGTGGAAATTTTGAATTTTACCTGAAGTGAATTTAAAATGTACAATTATAATTCTTATTCCTTAAAAATATTTTGTCATTTTTAGAAACATCGTACTTTTTATGGACAGTCTTCTATCAGTGATCTAATATATATATATATATTTTTTATTATTTAGGTGATACAGAGAGACGCTTTGCATGTTCTAGCAAAGGGTACCCTCAAGAGACTGAAATAATCAAGTTATTTCTTTTCTCAGGAAACTTGGTAAGGTCCGCTGATAGCATGTGTTATAACCCTTCATGTTCCTTTAAAGTCCACGTGTAAAGCCAATAGCACTGTATTCCTTCCAAATACGCTCTACTACATTCAGACTTGGGGAGGAAAAATTCTATATAAATAATAATTTTTTCTGTCTTTGCTAGTGTATGTCTACTTGGAGCAGGTAAAATACTTCACTACTTCACTTAGCCATAGAGCATCCTGTGTGTTTTGGCTTTTATTCTTTCTTTTTTAAAATGATGCCTACTCCCTCCGCTTTTTAGTGGAGTTGATTTGTCCTTTTGAAGTCTGACAGATGTAGCCTATTAGAGAAGGAAAGCTACCTCATATGACCTTGAAAATCTGTCTTGCCTTTGTATAACAAGTACCACATTGAAGTTCTCATTTTGGGTAAGGAATGATATGATCCTTTGATTCAAATAATGGGAGACTTTTTAAAAACACACATAACAGAGTAAAATAAAGCATGCTATCAAGATCATGCAGCAAATACTAACAAAAATATACATTAATAAAAAGTGCACAGATTGTCTAAAAATCTATGATAAATACAATGAAAACAAAGAAAAAGACTCCATGAGAGCAAATGCATTTGTTCCTAAGCCTGCTTTGACTTAGGCCACAATTTCCTCCTGATATGCTTAAATATGTATTTAAGCTTTATATATACAACTATTGAGAAGTGTATGCTCTCTGAGCCAAAAACGCATTTCTGATTTGTTGTTATACGTTATGGAAAAAGAATGGGCTTTGGAAGAAGACAGACTTACAGAGCTGGGGTCCAGTCTTGGTTCTGCCATTTATGGTCTGTGTGTCCTGGGCCAGGTTACCTAAACTCTCTGACCCTCAGTTCTTCTTCTAAAAAGGGAATTATAACCTACTTTTTGGATAGTTGTAGTATAGTAGTTCTAGCAGCAGTAGTATTAGAAGTGATAGCTAACATTTATAAAGTGTTTATGTGTATCAGGCATTTTAAAAAAATATTTAATGTTCATTATGACATTTCATCTACACATTTAATCTTATTTGAGGAAAGTACTATTGTTTCTTTTTTTGCTAATAACCCTGTTAAAAATTGTACTGCCTTCCCAAACTCCTGCACTGTCAACCTCCCTTCCCTGCTTCGTTCTTATAATGTATTCTATATTCATTCCATTTTTTCTGTCTTTTCCTTCATTCTTTGCCAATCCATCCACCAATCTCTCCATCCAGTTTGTCTCCCTGCCAATCTCCATTACAATGTTAATTCCACAGGGGCAGAGGGTTCTGTCTGTTTTATTCACATCTGCATTCCCAGCACCATTCATAGGAAGGGCTCAATAGATATTTTTGGAATGAATGTATTTCCCCATTTTTTAGTTTAGGGAAACTAAAACTCAGATAAGGAACTTGCGCAAAGCGATCTTAAGTACTAGGAGAACTAATTGAAATAAAGCTCTTGGTATCTGTCTCTTGTTAGTTTTCAGTAAAATTCACCATTTCTGATCACTACATTTTCATATACCTTCTCAAAACTAGGAAATATCCTATAAAGATGCCGTAAAATGAGGTTTGCTTTATACAGTTGCTTTTTTTATTTAGACACAAAATAACAATTTTAATAAAATTGGAATTTCTATTTGTGATAACATATTGCTTTGAGTCTCTGTTTACTATATAATAATAATGACCATTTCTATGATAGAAAAGATTATTATAAAGATGAAACCTTTATGATGCCAGCATAATAGGTTACTGAGTTCTGAAAGTATAATTTTATAAATAGATATTTTTTTCTAACTAGAAACTGGAATTACTAATCACTTTTAGATCAACTAACTTGTGTCTCTGCAGCAAGTGGTTATTAGTTGTTGTTTTTCTTTTTCTTGCTCTTTCCTAAAGAAAATCCAGTGTTTCTTCCAAACTGAAAATGAAATTGCATCACAAGGAATGCTAAGTGTGTTCACATCAGGAGGACTGGCTCCCAGCTTGGGAATCATTAATAGTACATATAATGGCATCTTCCACTTTAAATTAACGTTGGTAATTACATTTTATCTTATTCTGTGATATGTTATTAACAAGAAGCATACTCTTCCTTATAAGATGTATTTTTAAAAAATAGGTAGCTGAGTAATATTACATCTATGTATGTTTTAAGCCCAATGATAGTGTTACATTTTTTGCTTTAAACAGTCATATATTTTTAAATAAATTAAAGAAGAAGAAATACTTATTTGTACCCTTTACCTACGTATTTATTATTTATACTGTTCTTCATTCTTTCCTGTAGATATAAGTTGCCATCTGATGTCAATTTCTTTTAGCATTTCTTACAGTGCAGAACTGCTGGCAAATAATTCTCTGGGTTTTTTTCCTCCTAAAAATGTCTTTATTTCACCTCTTTTTTGGCAACAACTTTATTAAGATAAAATTCCATACAATTCACTCATTTAAAGTGTGCACTTAAATGGTTTTTAGTATATTCATAGAGTTGTGCAACCATCACTACTAATTCCAGAATACTTTAGTCACTCTAAAAGTGATGAAAGTAAGAGTCTATAACTATTAGCAGTCACTCCCAATCCCCCCTCCACTCCCCAGCCCTAGACAACCACTAATCTTTCTGTTTTGATAGATTTTCTAACTCTGAACATTTTATGTAAATGAAACATATATATGTAGTGTTCATGACTGGCTTCTTTCAGTTAGCATATGTTTCAGTTAGCATAATATGGTCAAATAATATCACATTGTATAAGTACCACATTTTGTTTATCCATTTATCAGTTGATGAACTTTTGGGCAGTTCCCACTTTTCGGCTCTTACGAGTAATGCTGCTGTGAACATTTGTGTGAAAATTTTTGTGTGGAAATATGTTTTCATTTTTCTTAGCTACATGGCCAGGGATGGAATTATTGGATCATGTGATAACTCCATGTTTGACATTTTGAGGAAATGCCAGACTGTTTTCTAAAGTGGTTGTACTGTTTTACATTCTTACCAGCAGCTTGTTAGAATTCCAATTTCTTTTCTTTCTTTCTTTTTTGTTTAGAGACAGGGTCTTGCTGTGTTGCCCAGGCTGGATTTGAACTCCTGGGCTAAAGTGCCCAGAAGTTCTGTCTCAACCTCCTGAGTAGCCAGGACTACAAGTGCATACCACCACACCTGGGTTAGAGTTCCCGTTTCTCCACATCCTCACCAATGCTTGTTTTTATTTGTCTTTTTAAAAATAACCATCCTAGTAGGTATAAAGTGCTATCTCATTATAATTTTGATTTTAATTTCCCTAATGACTAATGATGTTGAGTATCTTTTCATGTACTTATTAGGCCCTTGAATATGTTCTTTGGGGAAATATCTATTCAAATTATTTGCTGAGTTTTAGTTGGGGTATTTGTCTTGTTTGATTTGTAAAAGTTCTGTATAGATTCTAGATACAAGTCTCTTATCAGACATATGATTTGCAAATATTTTCTCTCATTCTGTGCATTGTCTTTTCACTTTCTTGATAGTGTCCTTTGATACACAAAAGTTTCTCTTAATGAAGTCCGCTGTATCTATTTTTTCTCTTGTTGCTCGTGCTTTTGGTGTTATGTGTCGAAAACCATTGCCTGACTCAAGGTTATGAAATTTTACCCCAAATGTTTTCTTCTAGGAGGTTGATAATTTACCTTTTACATTTAGATCTTGGATCCATTTTGAGTTCATTTTTGTATTTGATGTGAGATAGGGGTCCTTACTCATTCTTTGGCATGTGGATATCCAGCTGTCCTAGCATGACTTGTAGAAAAGACTATTCTTCTTCTATTGAATTGTTTTGGCACTTTTGTTGAAAATAAGTTGACCATAAATGGGACAGTTTATTTCTAGATTCCCAATTTTATTGCATTGATCCACATGTCTATCTTTATGCTAGTATCATATTGTTTTGATATTTTTGCTTTGTACTACAGTTTGAAATCAGGAAGCATCAATCTTCTAACTTTGTTCTTCTTTTTCAAGATTATTTTTGCTAGTCTGAGTTACCATATGAATTTTAGGAAAAGCTTGCCAATTTCTACAAAGTAGCCATCTGGGATTCTGATAAGGACTGTACTGAATCCGTAGATATATTTGGGTAGTATTGCCATTTTACTAATATTAAGTCTTCCAATCTATGAACATGGATGTCTCTCCATTTATTTAGATCTTTAATTTCTTTCAACAATGTTTTATGTTTTCAGAGTATAAGTTTTATACTACTTCTGTTAAATTTATTTCTAATATTTTATTGTTTTTTATGTTGTAAAGGGAATTGCTTTCTTAATCTCATTTTCAGATTGTTCACTGCAAGTACATAGAAGTATAATAATTGATTTTTATATGTTGATCTAGTATCCTGCAGCCTTGCTAAACTTGTCTGTAAGATCTAATAGGTTTTTAGCAGTCAACTGAAATTTTGAAGCATTGTTTTGTCAAATATAAAATTTCTGGTTGACTTCACTTTCTTTCAGCATTTTGAAAATTTTATTCTAATGTCATCTGACACCTTTACTTCTGAATGAGAAGTCAGCTGTTAATTTTATGATTGTCTCCTGTATGTAATATGTTATTTTTCTCTGGATGCTTTTAAGATTTTTCTCTTTGGATTTACCCAAGTAAAGTTCCCTGAGCTTCTTGAATTGTAAGTTTAGCAAATTTGGAATGTTTCCGGCCATTATTTCTTCAAAAAAGAATTGTACCACAGGTCTCTAAGATCTTACCTGTGATTTTGGCAGCTGAAATTGCTACTCAATTCTTTTAGCTTGCACTGCTAGTTTTTACAAACTGGTCTTCTGGGGGTGTCCTTTGCATGTTTATTGCCCAAGAATTTGGTCACAGTTTATATTTAAATCTCAGAGATTACCGTTCTTGCAGTTTCCTTATTCCTGGAATTTTCCTCTTAATATCCCAAATGCTCTGTCAACTCCAAGCTCTGTCTCTGACATGTCATGCCAGTAGATACTTCAACGTTGTGCTACTTAAGCTTGGCTGTATAGAGTTCCACTATGTGGCTATATTATACACAACTGATTAATATTTTCATTATTTCCAATGTTCAGTCATTACAATGATGCAAAATTATTCTTGAACACATTTTATTTCACACATATGTGAGCATAATGTAGGAAAAATTCTGAACAGTGAAATTTCTAGGTAAAAGGTATATGCATTGGATGTTTTTGTTTAATTCTCTTTTAAAAAGATAGCGTAGAATGTGACGTGTTGTTATTAATGTTGTAAAACATTGTTTTCTGATGTCTTCTTTATTCAAGTTCAGTGATCGGATTTTCTGGTTGGTTGATATTCCTAGAGAAAACATCACACAAAACACAGGTAAGAGTGATCTGAATTAATTCTTTTACCCCTGGGTCTGGATTTATCAAATAAAAAGAACAAAAAGAATTTATTATCTTAAAAATGATTTGTTGCTTCATGTAAATCTCCCATGTGGTATTTGGGACATACTTACTAAAAATTATCTGTGGTTTATCTGAATTTTAAATTTAACTGGGATACTGTATTTTATCTGACAGTCCTATTATAGGTAGGCTGTTTTGACATATACAACGTTTGTATTATCCTTTATTTAAAATAAACTCATTTCTTAGAACTTGGAAATTGTAGTATTAATATGTGTACTAATTTATTTTACTGAAGATGAATCATTAATTTTAATATGTTATAAGCTATACATATGATGTGTTATTTTATTATGGAATCTACTATTAAGTATTTTGTGGCAGTGTAGCATCATATGCTACTGTATATACCTAGATGAAAAGAGGAGAAAAGTCAAATTCCAGGAACTGTGAATATTGATCTAGTGAACTGACCTAGTAGATCTCTAGGCATGAGACACATTCCCAGAGGTTAAAAATGGTGGAAGGTTTGTTGTTTTAATATGATAGGTACATTAAACAAAACCAACTTGACTCCACTTAAGGAAAAAGAAGAAATTTATTTTAGTCATAGAACCCAAAGACAAAAATGTGCCATCTTATAGGAAGGAATTAGAAATAAGAAATGGAAAACCATCGAGAACTGAGGGAATACTTTCACCCTGTTTGTCTTATCTGTATTTTCTATAAATTTACATTTATTTTTCTTTTTTGTAGACAGGCTTTCTAAAGTTGCCTCATTACAGTTGAATTTTATGTATCTTTCTTGTGGGTGAGCCCAATTCCAAATTCCCAGGACAGTATCTGCAGTTGACTCATTGTTGATCCAGCATCCACCTGTGTACCAAGCAAATATGGATTGGGAGAGTGGGATGGGGGAACCATACAGGCCAACCCCTTCTGGTATTGGAGTAAAGGACATTCCAAACTGTGTCCTATAGAATGAAGGCAAGGCAAGGTGAGGGTAAGTTAGAGATGATGGAAAAGATTCTATACATAAAAAAGTGTCAAAGATAAAGGTCTGCAATAGATGTTCCAGTGCCATAACATCTGGCATAGATTGTATCACTATCTTTACCCTTTATTCAACTTTTTTTCAAATTAATTTTCTTATTGGAGCTATGTGTGATTTTTAAAGGAATTTATCTTGAAAATTGTACTCTTATTTTTGATGTAGCCTAACTCTTATTAATATAATGATAGAATGTTATTCCAGAAGCTTAGCACAATATTGACATTCATTTGACCATTGAAGAAGTGAAGATCACATGTTATTTTTACTTCTACTCTTTATTTACAAACTTTAATTTTAGAAAAGCATTGATTCTAAAGTCACCCAGACAGGAACAAAGATGATATGAGAACTTAAGGATTTTAGAAAAAGACCAAATTAGCTCTTCCTCTCTTGACACAACTCCCTGGACTGAGTAAAAAGAAATATCGTTGTGCTAGTACTGTAATAGGAGGGGCTGGTTTATGTAGATAGTAATATGCTAAAAATCAGAGAAAAAATGTTCAGAGGTAAGGAGATCATATTCATTTACTTTTTCCTCTTTAATCATAACTTATTTACTGCTATGGCATGAATTTGAGTATTATGAGTATATGTAAAATCTTGGGAATATATTTGAGTGTATATAAAATCTTGGAAAAGTAGGTTAGGCAACATCAACAACAAAGGTAGTAAAATAGTCATTGCAGTGGCAGTAGAAATAGCAGGCAGCATTTATTGAATTCTTATTATATGTCAGCACTGCTCTAAACGCTCTATCTATGTTAGTTTATTTATTCCTAACTATGTGGTAGATACTATTAATATCTTCATTTTCAGATGATTTAACTGAGGCCCATGGAGTTGTATGGAAATTTAGAGATAACTAGGTGGTGAAAGCAGTTTGAAGTGTGAACTACAAACAGTTGTTGAAAGTAAACAGCACCTCCTTGATTTACACTACATGATTTGCTCCTTTTCTTTTCATTTTAAAATAAGGTATAATTTGCATTCTAGGAAACATATCCTTTTTGGTGTCCAAAGCATATCCTTTTGGTTCTATGGGTTTTGATAAATGTTTACAACTGCGTAATCACTGCAGTGAAGACATAGACAGTTGCCTCAGGTAATAAAATCACTCCACCCATAATCAACCCCTCTCCATCTCCCAGGCCCTGGCAACCACTGTTCTGTTCTCGGTTCCTGTTGTTTTTTCTATTCCAGGGGCATATAAATGGAATCATAAACTATACAGCCTTTGAATCTGGCTCCTTTCACTTAGCTAATTCATTGGAGATTTGTCTATGTTATAGTTTCTCTAGTGTTCTCATTGGGTAGTATTTTTTGGTGTGGATAGTTAATTTTGTTGAAGGGCATTTGGGTTTTTCCAGTTTTTGGCAATTATGAATAAAGCTACTGCAAACAATCTCATACAGTTTTTTGTGTGAACATACATTTTTGTTGCATTTAGCTAATACCAAGTAGTAGGATTACTGTGTTGTATGGTAAGTGTAAGCTTAACTTTATAAGAAAAACTGTCAAACGATTTCCCAGAGTGGCTTTATCATTTTGCGTTCTGACCACCAGGTGATCTGCATACATCCCAGAATGTAGTATATGTGTGTGTGTGTGTATGCTTGTACATATGTATGCATATATGTATGTGTAGACATATTTTTAAAATTTTTAGCCATTCTAAAAAAAAGTGTAGTGGCATTTAATTGTGTGTTTTGTTTGTTTGTTTGTTTGTTTGTTTGGGGTTTTTTGAGACAAAATCTCGCTCTGTCACCCAGGTTGAAGTGCAGTGGCGCAATCTCGGCTCACTGCAGCCTCCACCTCCTGGATTCAAGTGATTCTCCTGCCTCAGCCTCCTGAATAGCCAGGATTACAGATATGCACCCCTAGGCCTGGCTACTTTTTTGTATTTTTAGTAGAAACAGGTTTTCGCCATGTTGACCAGGCTGGTCTCAGGTGATCCACAAACCTTGGCCTCCCAAAGTGCTGGAATTACAGGCGTGAGCCACCGTGCCCGGTCTAATTGTGGTTTTCATTTGCATTTTTCTAATAACGGACATTGAGCATCTTTTTTTTTTGTGCTTTTTTTGCCATTTGGTTTAGTATCTGTTCAAATGTTTTACAAGTTTATTATATATTCTGGATACGGGTGTTATTAGATATGATTTGCAGATATTTTCTCCCCGTCTGGGGCTTGTCTTTTCATCTCTTAAGAGTATCTCTTGAAGATCAGAATTTTCAATTTTACTGAAGGCTAATTTATCAGCTTTTTATGTTATGGATGGTACTTTTGACATCACAGCTAAGAAATCTTTGCCTAACCTAAGTTCACAAAGATATTCTCCTATATTTTCTTCTAGAAGTTTACACTTCTAGCTTTTGCATTTAGGTCTATGATTTATTTTGAGTTAATCTTTATAAGTTATATGGGCCAATGTTAATTTTTTGGAATCTGGATACCCAATTATTCCAGTGCCATTGTTGTAAAAACTTTTTATCTCCATTGAATTGCTATTTCTGGACTGTATCCTTTCACCAATACCACACTGTCTTGATTATTTTAGCTTCATAATAGGTCTTATAAGTAATGTTAGTCCTTCAATGTTGATCTTCTTTTTCAAAATTGTTTTGGTTATTATAGTTCTTTTGCCTTTCTATGTAAATTTTAGAATCAACTTGTTTACTTCTACAAAAATACTGCAGTGATTTTTAATTTTGTATTGCATTGAATCTATAGATCAGTTTAGGGAGAGTCAGCATCTTTTTTTTTTTTTTTTTTTTTTTTTTTTTTTTTTTTTTTTTGAGATGGAGTCTCGCTCTTATTGCCCAGGCTGGAGGGCAGTGGCATGATCTTGGCTCACCACAACCTCCATCTCCCAAGTTCAAGCGATTCTCCTGCCTCAGCCTCCCCAGTAGCTGGGATTACAGGCACCTGCCACCATGCCCGGCTAATTTTTTTTGTAGTTTTTGTAGAGATGGGGTTTCGCCATGTTGGCCAGGCTGGTCTTGAACTCCTAACCTCAGGTGATCCACCCACGTTGGCCTCCCAAAGTGCTGGGATTACAGGCATGAACCACCTTGCCTGGCTGGGAGAGTCAATATCTTAATAGTAACGAGTCTTCCAAGCCATGGAGACACTGTATCTCTCCATTTGTTTACATCTTTTTAAAAATTTATTTCATCCAGGTTTTGTGGCTTTCAGCTTAGGGCCGGGCGCGGTGGCTCACGCCTGTAATCCCAGCACTTTGGGAGGCCGAGGCGGGTGGATCACAAGGTCAGGAGATCGAGACCATGGTGAAACCCCGTCTCTACAAAAAATAGAAAAAATTAGCCGGGCGCGGTGGCAGGCGCCTGTAGTCCCAGCTACTTGGGAGGCTGAGGCAGGAGAATGGCGTGAACCCGGGAGGCGGAGCTTGCAGTGAGCCGAGATTGCGCCACTGCACTCCAGCCTGGGCGACAGAGCTAGACTCCGTCTCAACAAAAAAAAAAAAAAAAAAAAAAAAAGTATACCAAAATTATTCTTTCAGGGATCATCTCTATAGTTTGTTACTTTGTTACTAGAGAAGCTTCTGTGAATGCGTAGAGCACTGGAAACTACAAGGCGAAGGCTCAGCATTCTCTCCTAAGCGTGAAGCTGGCGCCTGGTGTTGGTTGGCTGCAACTGCCATTTGCCATTGATGATCATTCTTCTCTTCTTGTGGTAGAGGAAGAGGGAGAGAATGCAGTTTGAGTGGTTTCTATTTTTTTGTTTTTTGTTTTTTAAGTTATACCTGAATAGTTCGTGGTTTTGGGCCAGGCACGGTGGCTTAGGCCTGTAATCCCAGCACTTTGGGAGGCCGAGGCGGGCAGCTCACCTGAGGTCAGGGGTTCGAAACCAGCCTGACCTACATGGTGAAACCCTGTCTCTACCAAAAATACAAAAATTAGCC